GCTCCCTCAGGGGCAGCCCTGGGGGTCGATGCCGCCGGCCCTCCACCCTCACGGGAATCCGCGCTTCAGCCCCAGCCGCTCCCCTGGAGCAGCACAAATCCCCTAGGAAGTTGTTCCATGTGAACTGCTCCCTAACCCCCCCTGGCCAGCTCTCCTGGAAGTTGACTGTCAATTACGTGAAAGCGTAAATCTGGGCTACCCTTGCTTGACAGAAAAACGTACTTTTAGACTCACAGAATCATTATGGTTGGAAGAGACCTCAAAGATCACCAAGTCCAACCGTATACCTGCTGCCACCATGCCCACTAAACCATGTCTCGAAGCGCCACATCTGAACGTTTTTTGAACACCTCCAGGGACGGTGACTCCACCACCTCCCTGGGGAGCCTGTTCCAATGCCTAACGACTCTTTAGTACTTTTGTTTGTCGTGTTTGCTGGCAGGACAGGAGCAAGCGTAAAGCTGCTGCGTTAACTGGCCGGGCCGTCGCTCGTGGGGCTACGGCAGCCCTGCGGGCGTTTGCCACGAAGTCTGACCTCCCTCAGAGGTGAGAAACCCCTCGTTTGGTGGCCACAGCCAGGAGCTCGCCTGGCGGCAAGTCAGACCTTCCCGATTTATCCCATCGGATTAAAGAAGACGTTAAATATCAGTCAGAGGAAAGACAGCCGCGAAGAAAATCTTCCACGTGTGAACGGGCTGAAAATTAGCACGCGGATTTAAAATCCACTTCACAAGTCACTCAGTGCAGCCTGGAAGCACTGTGGGCATGCAGTCCCACTAAAGCCAGAGCATTCCTAGAAATCACGGGAGTTGTAGACCCTCATCCAACGTTTAAACTTACTAAAAGGTTTTAAAAAAGCAGCTGAATATGAGTTGACTGTGCAGCAACATTTTTTAAGTGCAAAGGCTTTTGTTTTTTTCCTTGGACATGTGGAAGAAAGTTTTTATTCCTTTATTTCTTAGTATTTCTTACTAATGCTCCCTCCCTTCCCCAAGGAGGAGTTACTGCATTTGCCACTGATTCTGAATGGTCTATTTAGACTTGTGTATTTCTAAAAATTGGAGTAAATCTGGGAAAAAAAGAAACACAAGATGGTTCCTTTTGTCCCTTCTTGGTTTTGATTTGCTATAGTGATGCTGTAGCACCCAAAGAAGTTACTCTGGCTCCAGAGCACAGGGAAATGCTAAAACTCAGTAACTCAAAATAGGATCACCAAAAACAACTAGAAAGATGTTTCTTTCGCATTCCATCTCTTTATCTGGACTTTTCTGAGGGAACTGCCTTTTCCCACACAAGCCAGCTTCAAACCCAGCAATTTCACATTTTTCCCCTCTAACATTTTTTTCTTGCTCTTTTTATCTGTCCCTCTAATTATGAAGTAACCGAAATGTTAATTTATTGCCATCTTGGCATTCCCTGGAACCGCGCTGATGGGAATCCGGCTGCCTTCAACCACTTCCACGGCCAAACAGTGACTTTGGGAACGTGTGTTTGCTGTACCCGCCGTTCTTCATGCCGCTGGCATCGCTGCTGCCGCCCTGCCTTGGAATGGTTCTTTTTGTATTTTCCAGCTCCTGTTATGCTTGGAGGACAGTTTAATCGTGTGGTAAGTTATCCATAAGCAAGGCCCCTTTTCTGAACCGTGCTGTGATTTACGTACTTTAGGTTCACTGGCCCTGTAAAGGTAAGAGTCAAGTTTCACGCATGAGAAATGCAGCTGGGAACGTGGGTTAGCCGCTGCCTTCTAGCACAAGTATCTCGTGTTTTCACATTATTGCCCCCTTTGGGAGATCTAATGTGAGAGGTTCCTGCCCTCCTCTCCCCTCATCCTCCTGGAGCTTTACTGTCCCAGCACTGCTATTCATCAGTTGTGGGTGGTGATGCTTTTAAGCCCAGCCTGCAAAGAAAAAAAAAAACCAAACCAACCCCACAGGCTCTTTTTCCGTACCCAGGTCAGAGCACAACCACGCAGAATTGAAGGGGCACTGGGGGAGAAGAGGTGAGCGGCCAAGAAAGGTGGCAGGGTCGGGGACTTGCTCAGCAGGACCTGCCACTGGCAAAACAGCAACGTGGACTCCCAGGCTCACATCTGTCCCGTTGGCCCCTGGCAGAGGACAGGTCCCGAGGGCCCACCAGGAACCACAGCCACCTTTGCTGTCCAGGACATCCCCAGATAGCAGCGAGAGGCTCCTGCAGGAGCGCCCACCTCTGTCCACGTTAATCTAACAGAGAATGATGACCTGGGCTTGAGACTTCAACTCCATCACTATTTTTCCTCATCAAACCATTCAAGGCCCCACTGAAAGTTACGCATTTCTTTTTCTCTGGCTTCGCCTGTGGAATTTAGAACTGCTGCCCAAACTCACTCTTTCACAACCGGGTTTAAAAGTTAAAAGAAGGAAGCGCTTCACAGCCCCCAGGTATTTTTGTAGGCTGTCAACATAAAATATAAGTTGGCACCTAAAAAGAGCTCTTCTGAGAACAGCATCCCTGCACAGCATCCTTTCAGCATTAACTCTTAACAATGTCTGCTCCCGCTAGCACAAATTTAAACTGTCCTCAAAGCCCTCAGAAACCAGAACCTCAGAAAGGTCTTGATGGAGGGAAGTACTTTGATACGTATGGAAGCCCTTACTAATCAGCAGATGCTCAGCTTAAAATGATCTGGTAAGGGCTTTGCCGAGTCAGGACCAAAACACAGAGCTATGAGATATTTTAATATGGGATATTGAAAATGCTTCTGCTCTAAGCACTTGTACAGGAAGGTATAAAGCTGACATCTAGATATTCTAAGATTTGGGAGAGGAATTTTTCCCCTTCAACAACGCACAGAATGTAAAAGTGAAAAAATACTGCTCGTCTTTTAGCAATAGCTGCTGGTGAGGACTTCAAAGAGTTAACACTAGACAACGAATTTCAGTTGTTCAGCTGATTCTGCAGATCGAGGTGAAACCTGACAGCCTGACTTTTCTATGTAGAGAGTATTAGGGGAGTACTTCACTGAGCAGAATCTCGCCACCAGCTACTAATAGAAGAGTTGTTCTTCACAAACTTACACAAAAGCTACGAGCCGAGTTTTTACTGCAGAGGAAAAGCCGTAATCAAGGCCTTGTCCTTTTCCTGCCTGCACTCCCAGTTCATGCATCTCAAATTTGGGACTTCTTGAACGTTATTCTTGCAAAATGAAGCAGCTCTCCTTTATAAAGTGCGTTCTGCCCCTTGCACAAATAGATCCTACCCCTCTCTTCTTCCTCAGGAAAGGAGCATGAAGGGGACAGGCAGCAGAAGACTGTCCAAGAGACAGATGGCAAAATACATCTTCCCAGGAGAAGAAAATTAGCACCCCTCCCAGGCGTATCCCCTCTCC